TCTTTCTTTCTTTCTTTCTTTCTTTCTTTCTTTCTTTCTTTCTTTCTTTCTTTCTTTCAACAGGGCCTGGCTTTGTCGTCCAGGCTGGCGTACAGTAGTACAATAAGAGCTTACTGCAACCTCTATCTTGTGGGCTCAATTGATCCTCCTACCTCAGCCTCCCGAATAGCTGGGACTACAGGTGCCCGCCACCATGCTTGGCTTTGACTGGCAGGGCGTCTTGAAGAATGCCCTTCCCTCCAGTGTGGGTCTGTCTGTTATTTTTCTCATGATTATACTGAGGTTATGAATTTGGTTCAAGTTCTTTTAATCCAGACATTCCCCTACAGGAAGAGGCTGTCAAAAATTTTTGAAAGAAACTTTCTGCTTTTGTCAAAAGGGATTGAAAAAACAAATCACCTATCATGCCACCTCTATGACAAACCTGTGTTTCTATTTCCCAGGTCGTTGATCTGAGGTGGGGTATTCGGAACACTGAAGTCACTGACCTCTTGACCACAGAACTCTGCTTGGAGGAGGTTGACTGGTGTTGGAAAACATCCATAGGGCCAGCTTTTGTTGTGAGTGTCTCAGGAGGAATGGGTTAGCTCTTACTCCTCCAGAATATGCCCCCTGCTTTCTAGACAAACTGATCAGCGGAGGGCAGTAGGTACTATTTCTGCTTTCATACTTTATCCCTATGGCCTGCCTGCGGCAGACATTACTAATCAATCACAGCACTCTTTCTGCAGAGCTGAATGGGATCCAGTCATTAGCTGTCAAATGGAAGCAGCAGGTGGCTTGGAGAGTAGAGTGTTGAAGCCAGAAGGAATCTTAGAATTTGATCTGGACTTTCTCCCACCTTCCCCACTTCCTCCACTTTATGTCTATGGGACTTCGGGATCCTGGAAAACCATGGAAACGGTGGAACCCCTCAGGATCTTAGGATATTTTTTTTCCTCCATGTGACCATGGTTTCAGGTTATGGGAACTTCTCCCCTCTCTCTTCCAGTTACACCCCCTCTATCACAAAGTCACTCTCCAGTCCACAATTAATGGTTTGTGCTATTAAAATTGAATGATATTCCTTAGTCTTTTTTTTTTCTCTCTTTTTTTGAGACAGGGTCTTTCTCTGTTGACCAGGCTAGAGTGTAGTGGCGAGATCATGGCTCACTATAAACTTGAACTCCTGGGCTTGTGATCTTCCTGCCTTGTTCTCCTGAGTAGCTGGGACTACAGGTGTGTGCCACCACAGTTGGCTAGTATTGTTTTGGAAAGATGGGATCTCACTATGTTGCCCAGGTTTATCTCAAACTCCTGGGCACAAGCGATCCTCCCACCCTGGCCTCCCAAAGTTCTGGGATTACAGGCATAAACCAATGCACCTGCTCTAGTTTTTTGTTTTTTTTTTTTTTTTTTTTTTTTTTGAGATGGGGTCTTGATGTTGCCCAGGCTGGCCTGAATCTTAATTTATTACATCGAGTTCCAGATACATCCAGATACAGAATGATCACATTTTCCTTAGAAATTCTAGAGCAGGCGGTCGGGAGTGGTGGCTCACACCTGTAATCCCAGCACTTTGGGAGGCCAAGGCGGGTGGATCATGAGGTCAGGAGTTTGAGACCAGCCTGGCCAACATAGTGAAACCCCATATCTACTAAAAAAATATAATATAAAAATTAACTGGGCGTGGTGGCACGTGCCTATAATCCCAGCTACTTGGGAGGCTGAGGCAGGAGAATTGCTTGAACCTGGGAGGTGGAGGTTGTAGTGAGCCGAGATCATGCCACTGTACTCCAGCCTGGGCAACAGAGGAAGACTCTGTTGCTCTTGCTCAAAAAAAAAGAAAGAAAGAAAGAAATTCTAGAGCAGAGGTCAACAAGCCTGAAAGGCAAGTGTGGCCTGCTGCCTGTCTTTGTAAGTAAAACTTTATTGGCACACAGCCATGTCCACTTTTTTTCACTTTGTCTAGCACTGCTTTCAAACTATAATGGCAGAGTTTAGTCATTCTGACAGAGACCATCTGGCCTGTAAGGCCAAAAATATTGACTATCTGACTTTTTCCAGGAAAAATGTGCTGATCCCTGTCCTGGACAGTAAAGAGGGAAAAAGTAAAGTATCATGGCAAGGTGTGGTGGCTCACTCCTGTAATCTCTGCATTTTGGTAGGCTGAGGCAGGCGGATAATTTGAGGTCAGGAGTTTGAGAGCAGCCTGGGAAACATGGTAAAACGCCATCTATGTTAAAAATACAAAAATTAGCCAGACATGGTGGTGCACACCTGTAATCCCAGCTACTCGTGAAGCTGAGGCAGGATAATCATTTGAAACTGGGAGGCAGAGGTTGGAGTGAGCCGAGATTGTGCCACTGCATTCCAGACTGGGCAACAGAGGGAGACTCGGTCAAAAA